CTTTTGTACAAAGTCTTGATTAACGGTTGTTAAAGAACTTTTTGAATTTATTGTTATGTATCTTTAAAAATATCCTTCGTTATTTTGTTCTATTAAACATTTTGCCCCATAATAATAGATCTATTGTTCGTAATGTTTGGACAATTGAAGATTCCCGCGTATGTACCAGTATGTGCGCAATGTTTGCGTACTATTGTGAGGCTACGGTGAGAATATTTACTTCATTCATGAGCATCATTCTCATTGTGCCTATTGTTTCCAAGTTAATCTCGGCTACGCGGGAAATAATAGAATGGGATTGACTAGTAAGATAGATCTCATCTTCGCATTGCATTAAGCATTGGCAAGCAGTTAATGTTGTGTTTTTTTTTTTTATATAATACAGACATTTTTATTTGTATTAGCCGTCCATTGTTCGCTGTTGAACATAGCGTCCTCCATAAGGAGGATTTTGCCAGTAGTTGTTATGTTTGGTAAACGGGTTGCCAACCGCAGTTTGGCGTTGTAACGGAGACGCTGCAGCTTACCATTTGACCGTAAAGCTCTTTTAGCCGCTTCTTACGGCACCCAGGGAAAAGGAAGGGATGTTCTATTCTATGCCGGGATATATATTCTACACGGAAATGATGACATAAAATTAATAAATAACTAAAATCTAAAGATAAATAAATATTAGAATATTTAAAAAGAAATAATAATATTTTATAATTGTAAATGTAATTATTTATTCAAAACAATATTTTTGTATGTATGTTTGTTTTGATATATCGCATAAACTACTTTACCAAATATTGAATACGATTTTTACAGTTACGTTCCTGAAGGCCATATTTAAAATGTGTATATTCATTAACATGCCATCTATCAATGGTCTGTTTCATTTTATCTCCAAAATTCAAACGAAGTCGCAGGCAAAATCTAGTAAACAAATTACATAAATATTAAAAAAAAAATAACCAAAATAATGTATCCAGCACACTTATCTCAAGTGTGCCTATGTATGTATGTATTGGCCATGCCGAGCGGCGCCGGATGCTGCGCCATGTATAAGCTGAGGATGCCGCTGCCGCGCATGCGTGGCCCCATCGACCATCATATTTATAGCGGCCCGCCCCGCGGACGACTGTACCGTAGTTCACACACACGACGGCTAAACCTAACGGCTACTAAGTAATCCAATGTAATTAACCACTTTACATGACAACAAATGATGGCTGAAGTTTAGGCTGGCTATTTTTGTTGGAACGGATTAAAAAAAAAGGGTTCTAATTTCAACTGTATTTTTTTTTGTATAAGATATTTTCGTTAATTATTTTTTTTTTTATAGAAAGGGTTTCAGGGAAATCGTAACTTAGTCTTTTTTGTTTATAAAAATCTTAGAATTTCAAAAAAAGCTAATTTTAACTGTTTGTCATTGCTCATAATTTAAAGAATATAAATGAAACGGGAAACGTATAAACGACTTTTTCTTTTTCCCATACAAACTATGGGACACGATCGTAACCTTCGTTCCAATAATACTCTCCAACCATCTTTCCCCTCTCACCGTACTGGTTACGCTTCAAACTCTTTTCTCTTACATTCTTCACGACTCTGGAACGCGCTTCCTGATGCCATTAAGAGACTACCGACTAAACCGTCTTTAAAAAAAACGTTCACGCTCACTTTTTTACTTTATCTGAGCAGTAAGTGCTTTATATTATTCTTAATTTCGTGTATAATATAGTATATGTTATATATGTGTAAGTATATTTGTTATTTATATATGTATTTATTCGTTTATATATGTAATTTTAGTATGTATGTATATCAATAATTACTAGTACCGCATTCGAGTATTTTGACACTTCCCTATGGTTGACTGGGAGAGAATGCTTTTAGCATTAAGTCCGCCATGTACACATATATGTACTAATGAATAAATAAATAATCGATACTTATAATAAATCTGTAGAGAGGTCAATTCTGTACATGAAATATATTTCTAAAATAACTATCAGCGGGTGATTAGTGATCGATACTGATGCCAAAAATGCAATCAGTAAAATTTTTGTCTGTCTGTCTGTATGTTCGTTATAGAAACAAAAACTACTCGACGGAATTTAACGAAACTTGGCACAATTATTCTTCATACTCCTGGGCAGGTTATAGTATACTTTTCATCACGCTACGATCAATAGGAGCAGAGCAGTGAGGGGAAATGTTGGGAAAACGGGAGAAGTTACTCCATTTTTAAGCTTCCGTCGCGTGTGCAACCTTAATGGCCACTTTTTAAAATGCAAAAATGTCCACCTATGGGACACCGGGACGGGCTGCTAGTAATAAATAAATAAATACTCATTAGATATGTCAATACGGCTGTATAATATGAGAAACGATATAACAGTGAATATTTCGCGTTCGCTTGATTGGATCCATTTGAAATTCAAATTGCATTTTGTGTAATATCTATAGACAAGTTATGTAAACCCATACTGTAGATCAGTATTTCTCAAAGTGCGTGTCGCAACCCCCGGGGAACATCAAAACTCTATAGGGGGTCGCGGAAGTTCGCGAAACGGCTAGTTCCATTTGTTCCTATCAATTTTTCCCACTGAGAGGTTATAGTGGAATGTTGCCACTTAGTCCCGCCATTGTGTGCTCAGTAGGAATGGATGGAATAAATATGCCATTTTTCTCTACTGGAATTTTTTTTTATAATAATAAGTACAGTTTGTTGGGGGAAAGGGATTGTTAGTAATAGAGACTGAGAATCCCATTGCTAGCAATATACCCAACCGGGTCGACCTCCTCGCGGTTCCCCCTGGTAACTATCATGGTTGATTCCTGATGAATTCATCATGATGAGCTAACTGGCCTGTTTTTATTCTCATCTATCACCCTTCACTGGTGCTCCGCCAGCGTATCCCGTTAGCGCAGGTGGGGCTACCATACCATTTTCACCCATCAAAAAAAAAAGTACAGTTTGTTAGACCTCGAACAAACTGGGATAATAGTCAGGAGAAAAAAGTATGAGAAGGAGAAGTACAGTCGGTTAGAAAATTAATTAACAGTACAAAGATATCTATTCGATACCACAGGGTAGGGAGTAGCAGTGATAGTGAAAGCGTCGTGTAATGGTCAAAAATATATTTTCGTTTAAGAAATTTTTTTTTAAGGACATTCATTCATTGTATGTAGGTATGCTAACAAAATGTAATAAAAAAATCATACTTATATTATCAATAATATTCGTAATAAATTATAATAAAGAACTTCAAAACAAACAATAAAAAAAAAAATACATGCAGGTTAAAAACCGCGGAGAGTAGGGGTTGCAATAGTACATTACTGCAGCGGCCAGCAACTGAGGCATTAATGCCTAGTTGTGGCCAAGGCTTGTATAGTACTTTTCTCAAACAATGCGCGAAAATCAAAAACACTATTTTACTTTTTAAGTTCAATGACGAATAACGAACAATAATAATTTTTCTCGCGCCGTAATGTTCCTTGGTTTTTTTTTTCAATAAACAGCTTTCTATTTGCAAGCCAGTTCGAAATTTAAATAAAACCTTTTATTAGTTACCTCCTTGGTAGCCTTGTTTCGAAGTAAAAGGTCATTCCATTTTTAAATTACAGGACAGATATGAGTTTACATAGTAATTTATTTGGCCGCAAAACACGACAGATATGGATTTTCATACAACTTTTGCCGGCCGCTGCCCTCATGTATCTGGCCAGTACGGCAATTTTGATTTATCTCGAAGAAGATTGTCAAAATAATGCTCACATTTCCAAGCATGTTTGAGAAAAATATTTTACAAACTAGATCGCGTCAAGAAAATGTTTGATATACACTGTTACAGATAAACTGAGAACATTCGTAGAATATGCGTTGATGACTTTAATTCCCATAATTCCCATTTGGGTTAGTTAATGAAAATAACCATTTATCAGGCGCGCTGTATGCTTGTTCGCTACCTTCGTGGTATTACAATGTTTTTTGTACTTATTTATAATATTTTTTTTTGATGGGTGAAAATGATATAGTAACCTCGCCTGCGCTAACGGTATATGCTGGCGGAGCACCAGTGAAGGATGATAGATGAGAACGAAAACAGGCCACAACAAGCTGACGGCCCACCTGATGGAAAGTGGTAACCGTCGCCTATAGACATGAGCAGCACCATGGACATAACAGAGTATACTGTTCCGCCCATGATACCCTCCATGCGTTGCCATTCCTGAGGACTCAGGTGTTATTCCTCTGTACCCAGTAAATTCACGCCATATCCCACCCTTCAAACAGAAACACAGCCATGCAAACACAACTGCTTCACGGTTGAAACACGAATGGGATAGAGGTAGCCAAGCAATCGACTTTTGTACATAGTCTCCCTCTGGTATAACATGTGTGACATATGTACAAACAAAAAAAAAATAGAGTCGAGACGAAAACTCCAGAAGTTTTTCAACTGAGTCCATACAATTTATAAACGACCGAATCAATTAATCCAAAATAGGATAAAGAAGAAGGTAAGAAATAAAAAGTTTATTTATTTATGCCACATTTAAATAAACCATTCGGTGAAACCATTGAAGTTAATTTAGATTCAGTCGTTTGTTAACGAATAATTTACATAAGTTAAAAGTAAATTAATATTCTCTTTACCCATCTGTAAAAGCAATAAGTTTTAAAAACTGTATATCTAATCTTATAATGAAAGTAATTTAAAATAAGTACAGCATTTAGTTACTGTTATATATCTATTATATTTTTATGAAATTTAACTGAAATATTAATGTTAGCGCAGGTTTTATTAGAAATTAAAAAGAAAGTCATATCTTGAGCGGCTTTAATCGAAGACGTGAGGGCGGCCGATACCGGTGGCATATCGACCCACCCGGACTAGGCTCATAGGGCCTATATTTAGCAAACGACCGATCTGCCTCCTCATACCTACATGAAATTTCAGGCGCACCCCATTGGCTGCGAGCCCGTGACGTCACAAACTTCTGATAACCAATCCGAGGGCGCCGTTCTGCGCATGCCATGAAAGCCTTTTCAGGCTCGCCACGAAAGGAGACCAGTCTGGGCGAGTTCAAGCCAGGTGTGCCAAGCCCTTGTCAACTCTTACAAAGGTTAACATTTCATTATTTAAATGTCGGCCATTATTGTATTTTTGAATTTCGAACTCGCGACCGTTGCGTTCGAATACGTTCATTTAGTTACGTTTGTGATGTGTTCGTCAAAGTTGAGTGAAAAAAAAAAAAAAAAACTGTGCGACTATACGAGATAATGTGAGGAATGGTGTTCAATGAATGAGTTATGTAATGTAATGTGGGAGTGGTTGCGTAATGTTATGTCGCAGGCTGTAGATACGATGTGAGCCCCGAGGGGGTGTGATAGGGTATTTTTAATAGTGACTATAGTGCGAGATTTTGATTTCAACTAGATTTTTTTAAGTATTTTTTTTTTTAATTATGGTCGTATTACGATCCTGTGTTTCTTAATAAACCACTATATTAGATGCGATTAATAAACGTTGAAATTTGGATAAGTCTTCTATTTTATTAGTATTTAATTGTTTATTCTGGTGAACAAGGAGCTCGCGGTAGTAACTTCTTAGTATTTAAGTTAACTCAAAAGATATGGTATTAATTGAATAATTTAGAAATCTTAAATATTTAATACATATGTCTCATCCTTGTTTTTGCTACCAAGCAGCTATAACTTTGTTCGCGGCGTGTGATATAGGAGTCAACCACGAACTCGACATAAAGGTATATTTTTAATTTTTAGGAATTGCAAGGTATGAGCCGTGCACGGGCGTCACAGTATATTTTGTGATGTCCGTGGTGATATTTACGTAGATAAGCGACGGTAACAGTTTTTCATCCGTGGACCGTCACCCTGTTTATTTGTTACGTCGTATAAAAATGCTTAACTATGAACTAAGAATTACTTCGATTTGAACTTTTATGATTTTATGATGGTCTTACTAAGGGTTATTGCATGAGATTCGTATCACACGGGATTTTTTTTTCGATGGGTGATAATGGTATGGTAACCCCGCTCGCGTTAACGGGATACGCTGGCGGAGCACCAGTGAAGGGTGGTAGATGAGAATGAAAACAGGCCAGTTAGCCCATCATGATGAATTCATCAAGAATTAACCATGATAGTTTCCAGGGAGAACTGCGAGGAGGTCGACCTGGTTGGGTATATTGCTAGCAATGAGATTCTCAGTCTCCATTACTAACAATCCCTTTCCCCCCCGTATCACACGGGATTAAGCTAATATATTTGTATTTATTTAGCTCAGATTTAAATTTATTATTTAAAATTACTATTGAAAGGTCCTTTCGACGGTATGGTCGAAGATTCTAACGGAGATTTTTTTTTTATTTTTTTTATTTTTTTATACAACTTAGAATGACAAACCTTTCGACGGTATGGTCGAAGATTCTAACGGAGATTTTGTACAAAGGTCGTTTACTTGGCTACCGTTGTCCCATTTGTGTTACAAAAGTCGATTGCTTGGATACCTCTGTCCCATTCGTGTTTCAACCGTGAAGCAGTTGTGTTTGCATGACTGTGTTTCAGTTTGAAGGATGGGATATGGCGTGAATTTACTGGGTACGGAGGAATAACACCTGAGTCCTCAGGAATGGCAACGCATGGGGAGTATCATGGGCGAAACAGTATACTCTGTTATGTCCATGGTACTGCTCATGTTTATAGGCGACGGTTACCACTTTCCATCAGGTGGGCCGTCAGCTTGTTTGCCATTCTAAGTTGTATATAAAAAAAATTGCCGTGAAATGTGTAATTGTGCCTGTGTATCGGTTAGAAGGATGAGATATGGCCGTGAATGATATAGTTTATTATTTATTATATTATTTTTGTGCCATATAAGTTTTGTATACGAACTCTGTAGATACTTATTACTTTCGGATTCTCAAGGTTGACTGGAAGAAATCTCTTCAATGTATAAGTCCGCCTGTGTACATTTTTATTATAAACAGTAACTATATATTTTAAAAGTATAAATGTATATTAAATGTGAACATTGTAAGCATTCAAACAAATAAACAAAAGAAATTACCGAAAAGAGATATAACACCGTCGCCACGGGCTCCACAGTATACTCTGTGATGCTCATGGGGTTTTAGGCGCCTTTTCATTTAATATAAAATGGGCCGTCAGCTTGTTTGCCATTCTAAGTTGCATAAAAAACATAGTGGATTTATTTAGGTGACAGTTAATTTGTGTATCAAATTTTCAAATATTTTCAACCGTTTAAGTAATATATATCCAAATACATTCCAGATAGGTATAGTTGGACGCGTTAAGAGATTAAAAATGGATGGTTTTATTTTGTATTATTTTGTTTAATTTAGTATTGTTTAATTTTGTGTTTCCTTTGCTTGTATTTTATTTGTGCAAATTTTATTGGCTGCCAAATTCCTATTTAAGTATATAATTATATATTGTTTTAGCTGTTTGTTTGCCTTAAATAAATAAATAAAAATAGTTGAACTAATATAAAAATAGCTCTTTTAATAAGGGTCGTGGATATTGTTGTCTACGGAGCCAAGATGAAGGTTAATTTTTTTTATACAACTTAAAATGGCAAACAAGCTGACGGCCCACCTGATGGAAAGTGGTAACCGTCGCCTATAGACATGAGCAGTACCATGGACATAACAGAGTATACTGTTTCGCCCATAATACCCCCATGCGTTGCCATTCCTGAGGACTCAGGTGTTATTCCTCTGTACGCTGTAAATTCACGCCATATCCCACCCTTCAAACCGAAACACAGCCATGCAAACACAACTGTTTCGCGGTAGAAACACGAATGGGACAGAGGTATCCAAGCAATCGACTTTCGTACAAAGTCTCCCTCTGAATATCGATTCTGTATTCAGAATTGATAAACATATCGCTTAACTAACATAAAAACAGTAGCGTCGGTTGAGGACCCTTTTTTGAAGGCTTTATAAGGGTTTGGCTGGCCGTATGTCATCTAGGCATGAATAAAACATAGACCGTGACGGAACTCAGCCAGTTTTATGATGCTGTGAATAAAGAGAACAATTTCTATGCATTCAGAAGTTTATACGAGGCGGATGTCGTACAGCGGAGTACCCGGAAGATGGCGCGCGGAAGCAGCTCGAGTGCTGCTTTCCGGTACACGTCCGTTCCGTGATTAAGAAGTTTGAATCCCCGAGATCTGTATAATCTTCGGATTTCAAACTTCTTTCGAGCTAGATCGTTTTAATGAAAATTTACCGGTTCCAAGTTCTAACTGAACTGCAATTTATAAAAATAAATAAAATTTTTTCTTACAAATGTTGTAATAGCGGCATGATATTTAATTTAGTGATAACGGAAAAATCTCTATGTATAAATTGACAATATACTTACCATTTATCAACAATTTGTTGACTCCTTATGCGAAATTATATTATTAAACTGTTTTGGCTTCTCACTCTTCGTTTTTCTCGCTGTACAATATAAACATATGGAATTTACAATAAGTTTACCTGCCAAAATATTATATGTCATGTTTAACTAGTTGTTTTCGATATTTCGCAATTAGTCAATGAGCAAGTTGTATTTCTCTTTTGACTATACCTATTATTTAACTCTAGATTCGCCATTATTTGTGGCGTCATGTCACATGATGAATCTCTTACAAATAATTATCTATCGAGTAGGTAAGAGTATAAGGGTTCATAGATTGCATAGTATTTTTTATTTTGATACAGATTATATGTACGGAAATTATGTATACATATGTATGATGTATTATGAAATGTATGAGCTTTTTATGAGTGAATGAAGCAAGAAATGTGTGTAAGGATAGAGGTTTTAAGCGCTGGTTTATGCTAGTTTTAGCTAGCCTGCTTTGTGGCGTGATTTTAAAGATGTACTCGTAATAATGCCATGCTTAGTACATATTTAGAATCTGCTTTTGATAATAATATGCATTCTGTACGTAGATTATATATTTTGTATTTAAAATATATTAATCTAACATCATTGTTCTGGTGAATTAGGATAAACTGTGTCTAGTGATTCTATGTTAAATTAAGGACATAGTCTGCCTATGTACGACATTTAAATTAAATATATTCAGTTGAAATCCACAGTTGAGCGATAAATATCTATACACACATCCATATTTATGATGTTATTTGAATATTTATTGAAATATTTAATCTGCTTTGTTACAGACGGACAAAACCAGCGCACCATGGTTGAACACTAACGCCCGAAAAGTCCCAAAACGAATACATATCAAAAAATGCACTGATTTGTTAATTCACTCTACTGTAAAGCTTAATTATAAAATAATTAATTATCACTAAATTTACATTTAAGTATAAAGTTGTATTCACACTTGTGAAAAACGCACAAAGTTGGGGTCACGAGTTAAGGGGGTTCGCACACTTTTGTGTCAGTGAAAAGTGGGGCCCGCGCCCCTGGGGTCACGACCGTGGAGGAGGAGGGGACGGCGCTGCTCGGGCGGCTGCAGGGGGCGCTGAGGGGGCGCGCGGCCGCCGCCTCGCCCTCGCGCGTCGCCAGCTCCATCAGGGGTTACCTCACCACCAAGGTTGGCTCGCTGCAGCTCAGAGACACAGGTCAGTGAATAAATTACTCAATACTCGAACTAACAACTTACGCGGACAACGGACAATTTTTTTGTGGTTTTTGTCTGTTATCGTGGAAGACAGAAATTCATTATATTTATTTATTTATGTCACTAGCGGCCCGTCCCGACTTCGCACGGGTGGACATTTTTACAACATTTTAAAAAGTGGTTATTGTGACATAACGATAATAGTTAGACGAAGTAAAAGTAAAGTATCACGAAGTTTTTTGTAGTAATTGGTATTTTCTTCAATATTGTAGAACATACTTTTGTTCTACCACCTATAGTTTCTGCAGCGCACGCGACCAAAGATATTTTATAGCACTTTTTTACACTTTGAGTTACGTTACTAAAGTTTTAGTAAGGATCCCTAATCTTTTCTAGCAATAAATATAGCCTATGTTACTCAGGGTGAATGTAGCTTTCTAATGGTGAAAGAATTATTGAAATCGACAAAGTAGTTTTCGAGTTTATTCCTTAACAAACATACATATACACAAAAATACAAATCTTTCCTCTTTTTAATATAAGTGTAGATAAACGCGGTGAGGTTTACAGTCTCAAACATCATAGAGTAGTTTTAATGCAAGAGACAGAGGAGTTTGCTTAGTCAACTCTGTTCTTCTTAACGGAATATTAAATAAGCGCCGTCTACGTTTTCTTTTTATTTTTAATTTAGATAATATTCATCGCGTAACGCAATGTCCGCGGAATTATCTGGCCAATACAATATATGAGTTTCAACGGATTTCATCGAGTCCCTCGTCTACCCTTCATGTATATACATACACGAAGAGTCCGTACGGTTATGTCACAAATTTATGCGTATATGAATTGATCCTATCCTGAATACATTTCAAATGATCAAAAGGGTATATTTGTTTTTTTTTTCTCTCTCTATTGTATTATATAACGTTATTTCATTATATTCAAATAGGCTAGAGGCTTATGTTCAGCAGTGGACAGTTAAAGGCTGATATAAAGATATGATTTGTTTAATTACTACATTCGACATAATTACGTTATTTGATTACGATTGCGTACTTAATTTCTAATATTTTGTTTATTACGAAAATACAAAATGTCTTCATCCGTTTTCTAATTATCTATTTGACTAGACAATATTAATTAATTTGTCGATATGAACAGCGCAGCGTTGCGTATGTCTCGGCACTTTGATCGGCCGACGTTATTCAGAACTTTAATTATTATCTCATTTGAGTTTCCAATATCTGTGCAGCGTGTTGCAATGTTTATGACAGTCGAGAAACTATGTAAAAATGTTATAACATTAATTCTTGTATAAGACAGTGTCTAAAGTTGCAATTAATTCAAATGAATAGAACGTTAATATGTTTTTAAAAGATTTCCAAATATGCGAAAGGTTTAATGAGCTTGTATTTTTAATTTGTGGTAATATCTTAAACTGTTTCATAAAAAATAAATTATTGGTTAGAAGTCACGAGTTATGCAGTTGAAATAAGCCAGAGATTTAGTAAGAATAGAGGTATTTCGCACATATTCTCTCTACCTACCACGCAAAGGACTTGGCGTGAAAATAGATAGATAGATTTTTTATTAGTTGATAATGGAATGGTGAGCCTGTAGCATTGATATATACTGGCGGGGCACCAGTGAGGAATGATAGGTGAGGATGAAAAGGCAGGTCAGTTAGCCTATCGTAATGAATACGTTGGAATTCAATATGATAGTTTCCAGGGAAAACCACATGGAGGTCAATCTGATAGGATATATTGCTAACAGGTAGATGTTATCACGGTATTAGTGTAATGCTAGGAAAATCGACTTTGATGATTCTTTTTTAATAGAAAAAAAAATCTTTATATGGTTTTAATATTGCTAAAATCAAACTACATCTAATATATAAAATTCTCGTGTCACAGTGTTTGTTACCAAACTCCTCCGAAACGGCTTTACCGATTTTTATGAAATTTTGTGTGCATATCGGGTAGGTCTGAGAATCGGTCAACATATATTTTTCATACCTCTCAATGAAAAGGGTAACCCACCCCTAATAAATATTTATTGTTTATTTTATTGATAAAATTTTTTATTTTTATTTTATTATGATTTAGCATTGAAAAATATATACAAATTCCAATTTTCATGCTTTTACAATCAACCCCTGTTTTTTAATCGCGATTTTTATATACCGCAGTAGGGTTGTAAAATGGTAATCGAATATAATAATTGTAGTAGGATAAATTTTCATGTATAGTTCTAGAAATAATGTATATGGTAAAACAACGTTTGCCAAGTCAGCTAGTATTTTATAAAATAAAAACTATCTCGTGAAGAAAAATATCAAAATAAAAGGAGATCTAATTAATCCGGTGTCTCACAAGAGGGCGCGACCCCATACTACGTACCTCGCGAACGGTACCTTCTGACGTCGTGCATCGTGTTAGGGTTGTCAACCGCTGTTTGCTCTGGATCCGACTAACGATCGACAAATGTTTGTGAAACAATGCCAGCACTGAATAAATAGAGGGAGATGACGCAATACCCACTTCAATAAACAAAGGTGGCATTGTACAAAGAATGGGCGATGATGGACGGACGACAAAAAGGCTGTGACATCAATTGGCCCATGTAATAATAATTGTAATCAATACTTAGGTGTATTAATATCAAGGGCTGGCAATTATAATAATTATTAATCTGGCAATAATTGGCGTGAATTTACTGGGTACAGAGGAATAACACCTGAGTCCTCAGGAATGGCAACGCATTGGCGGTATCATGGGCAAAACAGTATACTCTGTTATGTCCATGGTACTGCTCATGTCTATAGGGGACGGTTACCACTTTACATCAGGTGGACCGTTAGCTTGTTTGCCATTCTAAGTTATATAAAAAAAAATTGTACGAAAAATAATGAGACATTTAGGTGTAACATATGGGTTTAATGAATTTAGTTGAAACTAATTTTTTAAGATACTTAAAAATGTTCAAGAAGCCAAGTCAGAGGCAGAAGCCAATAGTAGTGCATTAAAAACACGATTTTGTTTTCTATGCTACAGAACTATGATTGTAATTTGAATGATAATACGCTACAAATAAGTCATATTATATTTCTATTAATTAATAAAATTGTATTTTTATAAAATATTAAGCGAAAGCTGGCAATCGAATAAAATATTCCCTCCCAAGTACAAACACATCGAAAACCACGAAACACGTCTACAATGGAGCCAACGCGGTCCTTCCCCCGGCTCCCTAATTGCATCAATTACAGTCGGTCGCGGGTTCGAACCCGCTCCCGTTACCCTCATTATCTCGCGTAACATCCCATCGACTATTTTCGTTAATTTTTCTCTTGTAATCCGATAATAGAAGTTGCTTAATTGGGATTGTCGTTTAGGGCTTATTTTGGAACGGCCGTTTTGTAAGTTATTTTAAGATTGAGGTGACATTTAATGGGTAAGTAAGATAATTATTTGCCCGGCCCTGTTTGTATTAGAAGGGAAAAAATGGCGTAATACAAATTCCAAAAATAATAATTGACTTATTTATTCGTTATTTTTGAAGAAGTTTGACGACTATTATGCTGTAGCAATTTAACACCTATTCTTTAGTTGCGAGTTTTTTTTTTTATGGGTGAAAATAGAATGGTAACTTCCCCTGTGCTATCGATATATGCTGGCCGTGTATCAGTGAGGGATGATAGGTGAGAATGAAAGCAAGTTAGCCACGCCAGAAATAACCACGATGGTTTCCGGAGGGAGGGAATATGTATGGTAAAAAAAATACTTTTCTATTAATTGTTTAGTGTCCATAGTATCCATAGTATTGCTTCGTTCGGGACTAGATGGCGCTGTTCAATAATTTTATTTTTATTCTTACCTTATGAGTAATAAGTCTGATAAACCGGGGGGAAGGGATTGTTAGTAATGGGGAGGTTAGTTCCCCAATCAATCAGGTCGACCTTCACGCGATTGACTTTGGAAAGTATCGTGATTAATTTATCGTTGAATTCGTCACGATGGGCTAACTGACTCGTCTTTTCATCGTCACCTCTCACTGGGACCCCGCCAATGTATACCGATAGCACAGGCAGGGTTACCATTCCATTTTCACCCATTAAAAAAACCTCTGATAAACCACAAAATAGAGATTCTGGCCTATCAGTTTGTCTGCCATTCCGTGTTGCACAAAAAATATAAATACTTATATATTTTGTATTGCACGGGAATCGAACTTGCACCTATCGAGAAGTAGACTAGTATATTACCAACGTAGTCAACATCATAATCATCATATCAGCTTTTAACTGTCCACTGTTGAACATAAGTCTCCCCCTTGGGGGGTTTAGCCAGTAGTTGCTACGCTTGGTAGTTGGATTGGCAACTGCAGTTAAGTTTTGGAGATGTTTTAAGAGAAACGCTGCCTATTGTTCGCTTTCCCTTTGTCGCTTCTTACGACACCTATGGGAAAGGAATGGGTGGCTTATTCTATGTCAGGACCATACGGTTGTTAATATAAACGTAGTAAATACAAATATGTAGGGGGGGAAAGAGATTGTTAGTAATGGAGACTAAGAATCTCATTGCTAGCAATATACCTAACCAGGTTACCTCCTCGCGGTTCTCACTGGAAACTGTCATGGTTAATTCCTGATGAATTCATCACGATGGGCTAACTGGCCTGTTTTCATTCTCATCTATCACCCTTCACTGGTGCTCCGCCGGCGTATCTCGTTAGCGCAGGTGGGGTTACCATACCATTTTCACCCATCAAAAAAAAATACAAATATGTATGTAAAAGTTTTATTTTAATCCATTAAATGATTACTTAACACCATACAACCAAAACCAACCATTCAATATTCAAGCAGATTTGACAGTAACATAAAATACACGATGTTACGGCATGAGGGTGATAACATAAAGATAGGAATCGAGCGGACGATGGGCAAATCAGATGATGGCCCATGAACTAGTGGGGTGCGGGGCAAGGGGCGCGGGG